TGTGTGTGTGTGTGTGTGTGTGTGTGTGTGTGTGTGTGTGTGTGTGTTTGTTTGTATTTTTTGGCACAGTATAAGGATATAACTTCTTAGGGATTAAACAGAACACAAACACATATTTGGCAAGTTGCACACTTTAACTATGATCATACAACCCTCTTTACTACTATATTTGAGAATCTTGTATAGCCAAGGACCTAGAGAAATGTGAGGAATACAGCACAATGTTTCCAACAGGGAGCATTTATAAATGTTTCCTCCACAAGAGTCAATAAATAGTTTGCTTAAAACACACACAGAAAAGTCATTTGTCCTCTGAAGAGATACTGTGCCAAATCTGGAAGTTAATTCAGTCATTCCAACATGAAACAGGCATTTTAGTCCTGATGTGAGTGCCAAGCTCAATGCTACCCTAACCAGGGAGTTGCTACCAACACCTCCACAGGAGTTCAATTCACAGCACAGTGTCTCTCTCCTCCCCACCCCCATCACAGATCAAGCCCCAATTCTAATTTCTCTCCATCACACATAGGCTCTGCAACCTCCTCCCCAATCCTGCTTCCCGCACATCTTCTACAGCACCACTCTGCAACATGCTCCCCCACTCCCCACTATACCCATTCAGCTATCACATATTGAGACACACATGTTGAAATCTGACTATGGCAGGAATGTAGGGGCAAATCTGAGCTGTGCACAGAAAGTGGCATGGGTTGGGAATAGGGTCTGGCAGGGGTGGGCGTAGGCATGATATTTTTACGTTTGAGTTAAGGTTGCTTGACTCCCATCAATGCAAATGCTAAAAAAAAGCAAAATCACGCACAGTTCACATCTCCGAGCTCTTCCTGAATAACCAACATAAAGCCTTAACTCTGGCCATAAACACAGTGCAACCATGTAGAAATCAGTTATGAATACTGTAATAAAAAAATAAAAAAACACACACACACACACACACACACACACACACACACACAACCAAATTTAGATCACTAAAAATAATACAGATCACCAACTCACCTAAGTTCTCCTAAATGTTACAGGAATGCTGCTGCCATTTGGAGTTTGACAGTGTACCTCACTTACTTTCACACACCCGTACAAAATCACACACAGAACCACACACCATGTAATTTACGAAAGCCACACCGGGGGGGGGGGGGGAAGAGGAAGGGGGGAACGAATTTATCGCCAACAACCATTGCTGGAGTTTGAGACGGTTTGTTCAGGATGAGGGAAGAGATATACGAGCTGTGGAAGGGGAACTGATGAGTGAATGTAGATGGGGCGTTGAATGGCTTCTTTCTTAGCTTTTTCATATGGTGCTGGTGGGCCACTCACTCTACGAACCTCAACTCAAACTTAAAGATTTTTGGTGAGGAACTGATTACGTAAATTGGAATGGAGAGGATGGCATAAAACAGAGCATTCCAAGCCTGTGTGTGTTTGAGTAAAAAAAAAAAAAAAAAAAAAAAAAAAAAAAAAAAAAAAAGAGTTAATGCTCATCTTTGGGACTAGGTCTAAAGAAAGAAGTTACGATTCCTTGTGTTTGGGATATCAATCATTCACAGAGCTGCAGACTATAATGTAATAACCAGAACAGTGACTTCATTGTAAGGCACCCAAGAGGAAGAAATGAATTATGATGGGAGGAAGATCCAGAAATCCTAATACTAACCACTATGTGAAAAGGAGGTAAATGCTCTTTTATCAAGTTATTTACATTTTGTGACTTGTTTAATCTTAAAATTAATGACTACCCTAAAATGCCATATTTTTCCAGGACACAAAAGCCAGGTCTAGAAAAACAAAATAGTTTTGTAAGGAGCAAAGCAAAAGGTTTTACAGTTACTTATATAAAATGTGCTTATGAAATATACATGAGCCTGAGCAACTCTTGCTTACACCTGAAAACACGGACTATAAAAAACTTGTACGTTATATGCCATCCTTCGAAAGAGACACAGTCAGGTAAGCGTATGCCCAAAATGTAGGTTGTGGCCTTACACAAAGTTTTAAGATTAACAAAAACAGAGTGTGTTTGGATCTAAATACTCCCTTGTAACATTTTTGCAAATACACAACTTTGTCTTAAATGTTTTGAGACCCAGAAAGTGGAACTGACTAGTCAATTTTCATTATCCAAAAATACAGAAAGTTAATAGTATAAATGGTTAATAAGAGCCTGACTTTACAAATGTTTATACCCAACTTTGCTTGCATAGACAGTCTGACTGATTTCGATGGTCTACTCATAGGAGTAAAGATAAATGCCTAAATATTTCCAGCGCCAGGCCTCAAGTACTAAATTCATAATGGGTACACGAAAAGCATTTCTGAACTTTGTGCCTATTTAAATACTAAAAAGCTATCCAATATGAAATCCTAAAATAGAAATAGGTGTTCTCTTCAAATATTTGTTTTAAAAAAATTGTAAAGTCAATAAAGTGAACATGTAAAGAATCCCTGGGACTTGTAAAGAAGTTGCAAATTTTTATGACTAACAAAAATTGAAACCACACATTTCTGCATGCCTTACCTTTACATAAGTAATACTATTTACCAATTATACATATGAATCAGAAACGTTGTGAATATTGTTTTAATTGGTCTAGGTTGGGGATTACTGGTAACTTCAGATTGCAAGGTACAAAAAACTTCTGCAACAGGATAAAATGTTTAGTTTCTCCCAGGAGTCTCACATAAGACTGCAGAGGACAACACTTAGCAAGCTTGCCAAATGATGTGTCAGACTCCTCCAGCCCCATAAACTAAACTGAATCATCTACAGGCTCCAATATCCACAGCTGAATCTTATGGCAGATTTATAATTCATTTTGCAGAATATTTTGGATCAGTTTCAGTGATGTGGAGATCAGTTGGTCTGGGTAGGATTGCTCACAACACAGACAATGGATGATCAGAGAGCACTTAGAAGGCAAAAGCAAGGATAATAGAGATCTGTGAATTTTATAGAATTTGGGATTTCCCTGCAGAATTACCCAAATATTTTACTGCACTTTCCACAATTTAAAAACGTGAACAAGAAGCCTATCTTCTCATCCTAGTAAGGGCCTTGTTTCGTAACCTGAAGCAGCAGAGACAGAAGCCGAGTTGTCAGTCAGGGGCATGCAATCCTAACGGCTGCCTCAGCGAAAGTTCTTCTGCCACTTGTCACTAAGTTTGGTTCCCTTCCTTCCTTCCTTCCAGCGGCGAGTCCTCACTTTCATCCCTTTGGAACATTTTTTTAAAATGATCCGTCTCTTCTAGATTGCTCTCCTTATAAGCACACAACAGTCATATCGTGGCGCTAGAGAAAGGCTGTGAAAGTGGCCCTTTGATCTAGGCAATCAAGCATTGGAGATTCTTATCACTGTGAGCACTCTTCCAACCTGTTCACTGGAACGTAGTACCTCACGTGTCCCTCACTGTTGGTACTAGCAGACTGCCAGAAAACTGAGGTTCTCAGGAAAGCTAAATGAAGAAGGCTGTTGGCATCTCCCACCAAAGAGAAGGAAAGTCTCTTTCTGCTGCTAAATCACCTGGGAAGGTGTCAGTGGGATTCCAGACGCAGAGATCTTCCTTTTGCTCTCTCAGCTACATAGACAAGGCAGAAAAGGCTACAGATATTCAAGGTGAAAGCCTTGGTACAGACTTGCCAGAAGAGGCAAGTCACCAGGACAATAAGCAGATGGCTATCAATACCCTTAAAACTACCTACTTACTGCAGTGTAAGCCCCATCAGAGATGTCTAGCTCACAATAGGAGTCTTCCACCTTTTGTTCAGAGAGAGAGAGAGAGAGAGAGAGAGAGAGAGAGAGAGAGACAGACAGACAGACAGACAGACAGACAGACAGGAAGGACAATGTATGATGGACAAATAGGTCTGAGATCATAAGATGCAGCTTTGCCCTGGAACTGAGAAGAAACCCAAAAGACAGGTTCCTAGTTTCTGTCAGAACTTCTAGCAAACTGATAAATGAAGAAATTAATAATCTATCCAGGACTAGGACAGAAGAACCAACTGGGGGGGGGAGAGAGATTCTGTAGACTTTATTCTACCTTTTATGTGGCTCTCCAAAGGAAATGGAAAGTGGATAGCGATTATAGACCTGAATTCCCTCAACAGATAGATGAAGAAATGCAGGATTTGATGGAATTCTAGGGTCCCACTCTAGCTCTAGTCATGGACAACTGAAGGACTTTTATCCGTCTAGCGGCCACATACCTTTACATCAAGATCAGAAATTCTCATTGCATGTTCCCCTGCTTCTGCTGAACAAAGAGAGACACCCAGGGCTCTCTCAGACAACCCCTCCACTCTGAAAGGATTCATTCCCCTTCCCCCACACCCGTTTCTCACCAAAGTTAACCCAAGCTTTGTCCTTGAAGATTACACATACAACTGTGCAAGTACTCTCCTCCCTTTACAGGCATTAATTTATTGTAAGTGTGGAGAAGAGCTTCTTTTTTCCCCTGGTGGGGCTGCTGAGCAGGACTTTGTCATGTCTGGACATGACCCTCCTTGGGGACCATTGTGTATTTAAAATAATCAGAATAGAAAATAATGCCTCTTGGAGAAGTTTTATGGGTTTGTGGCAAGGGAAAAAAGAAAATCTTTGATTTGTACTGTCCTGGGGCCACTAAGAATATACACGCTAAGAAAAATGATAAATTGCTCAGACATCCACCAAAAATAAGTCAGGTCTAAACTGCTGGCTTGTTGCACAGTAAAATATGTGCAAGTTTTAAAAGAAATATCTCAAGTGAATATAATTGCCATGGACTATCCTCCATATTGGCTGCTTTCTTTATGTGCTGTGGAAAAAAGTAACTAGTAAATTGCCTGTACTGCAAGGACTCCATTAAAATAATGGATCTAAAAAGCCATGAACAATACCTTATTAAAAACAGACTGGAAAGCAGAGAGAAACAGAAGGAACTGGAAAGAATCTAATTATGGTAAAGGGATCTGAATGTGATAGAATTACAGGCCTGTTAAGACTGGAACAAGAAATGTCTTCACACACAAGTTTTTACATGCATACGAAACTGGACATTCCCTACTTGGGTGAAGAGCTAACATGTTAGGGAGAGGGGGAAAAAAACCCTTTTGTGGGTCTTAGATAGTTCTCACAGCTCAGTATTTAAACACCTTGTAAATAGCAGCTGTCAAATGGGAATAAACTGGAATTTTGAGAAAAAGAGGGAAGGTTCCCCCCCCCCCTTCATTTCAACATTAAAAAAAAAGTTATTACCTGGTGAGGTGACATGAGGGCTGAAGCATGAGCCAGGGATGTAGATAGTTTATGTATGCACATAAGGCAATAGAAATTAGATATTGAGGAAGCTTTTAGATAAATCACGAGCCCGGCCCCCTGCAAGAACAACATTTAGTTCCCCCACAGAAGGTGTAATTGGCTATTTTAAAGACACTGCAGAACTGCTGATTTTAGGAAAGCAGCCAAGGAACAGCGATCTAATTAAACTTATTTATACTTGTGATCAGTGTTTTACCGTGATTACAGTGCTATAGTACGGATGAATTTAAAAGGCCCAACGGACTGTCCAAGACTTTATATTTTAGAAGGTGTTTCAAACAGATTTTTCCTAGCGCTTATAGAAAATACATGAAATAACACAATTTTTTTTGTCCTGTACTTGCCATCAGTACACTTGTGTTCATGACTTGTATGTTTGCCAGAAGAACTAGTTGGAGCCACACATGAAGCTAGTTCAACTTCTGCAGTGACAGATGATTAATTTCCCGTTGGTTGGTAGATTGCTGAAATAGGTATCACATAGCTGATTGAGGTTAAGCCCACACAAGGCTGTCAATTGCATTTACTCAAGGTGTTTTGCAGTTGTACTGCTGTAACATCACAACACACTCACAAAACACTGAGATGCAATTATTTCAGAAAGCATGATCTGTATATTTTTTTGTTTTGTTTTTAAGCAACTCTTTTCACTCCCAAAAACTACCCATCCATGGCCGTAAATAATAATTTCAAAGTACCCACCTTGTTGAGGACATCTCGCTGGCAACCAAGGTAAAGATGAGGCAGGATTCTGGTTGGACCAATGTTGGAGACAGGTAAGCAAGGTTGAGAAATACAAGTAGGGACTAGAACAGATTTTCCTTCACAGAGGCCAGGGAAGCAGCCGGAGAATTCAGCAAACCCACCTAAGGAAAGCAAAAACCCGAGTTTCAGTTCAATGGGGAGAGTGCAAGTCAAAGCCATGTAAAAGTATTTTAGTGTACCCCAATATCAATTCTCAACACAAAAATAATCTGGGGGTGGGGGGCGGTGATGGGATGCAGCTGGAAAACCCTAGAAGCAAGTTGATAAAGCTGCATGTGCGTCTTTGCCACAGCTGCTGTGACTGCCAAGTCCAGTATATAATCCAGCACAGAGTCTTGCCTCATATGCCCCCCCACCAATTATAGAAAGATCTAAAAATCCTGAAATGTTTCTTCTCTTCATTACCTCAAAAACTTGAGGTACCTGTCAATTTTCAACATTTACTTGTGGAATGGAGACAACAAAAAATAGCCCCCAAAAAGATATCCGATCACCTAGAATTAGCAATGACATTGTCCCTTTCCCCTTGAGCCAAGGCTTTAATAATTCACTGCAATCGCTGTCACAGCAATGGAAAGGAGAAGGATGTGTCATCGGTACAGGGTTCTTAAAAGTGTTAAAATGCATTGTTAGCTGAATGAACAATGACTGCAGAATTTTTCCATTATCCTAGCCTTGTGCCCCAACAAAAAAATTCAGCCAGTCTCCCTGTAGACCTCACATTTCAAAGCTGCAACAAGTAGAAACTTCTTCTCAGTCTCTTCCTTTTTTTTTTTTTTTTTTTAAATAAAGTAAAAATCTAGATTCTGGGATTCCCCTGGCAGACGGTCAGTAAAAGTAACAAGAATCTTGACTAAGTGGTCCCTCATTCATTCTGGTTAATGCTTTAGATTCTCTGCACATTATGGCTACCCTAGTATTTTTATTAAAGTTTTCCCCTCATTGCATTATCACATATGTAGACTGCCTGCTAGTGTTTTAAACAATACTGTGGTTAAGTCTGCTCAAAGAAGTTCTAACCGACACTAGGACTAAAACCCCAGTGGTTACCACTGACCTGTCTACACTAGCATTCCCACCATTCATGTAGCTCTGCTGGTAGGAAATATGAAGATAAATGCTAGTGCAGACAAGGTTAAGACTGTTAGCCACAAACATGTAAGCACAGTTCAAGATCTATTCCTTTCTCCTGTGTGGGCAGGAGAACTGTGTTAGTGTTAAAAAGCCATGCTATATGCTCCATCTGCACTGGCCTTACAGAGTTTAAAAATCATGCTTCAACATAGTTGTTGGCAAACATGTGCTAGCAAAATCTGGCTAGCTAGCATGCTGGAAACCAAATTAAACTAAAGCATGGGCTTTTTACTCTCATGCCTCATGAACAATTTACATATTACCATTAAAAAGTACCCGGCCACTTATTCAGTACACCTGTTTATTTGCCAATGCTATATCAAAGTTAGACAGTAAGTATGATACAAATCAAGATAAGAGAGAAGTCTCCTTTTGTTATGTTAGGAATAGAGTATTAGCCAAAGATCTCAATCAGTCTTCAATAACTGAGCACTAAACATTAGTCTCCAAAATATTATTCCTTATGCCAAACGACTTGCCGGTAACAAGCCCAGCTGAAGAGAGGTTTACATTAGAAGAGTTTCATTGATGGTATTCTCTTAGAGCTTGTGTGCACTGGCAAGTTTCTGCGCAGTAAAGCAGCTTTTTGCGCTCAAACTGCAGACGTGTGTCCACACTGCCAAGCCACTTTGTGCGCAGAAACTCCTCTGTTGCAGCGCTGCAAAAAAACAAAAACAAAAAACACCTCGATGAGAGCCGTAAGGCTATTTGCGCAGAGGCTCCAGCGCTCTATTGCCAGTGTAGACACTTGATTGCTGTCATCGGCCTCCAGAGCTGTCCCATAATGCCTCAAGTGACCGCTCGGCTCATTGTTTTGAACTCAGCTGCCCTGGAGACATGCGCTCCTCCCCTGTTTCTGACAGCCGTTGTGTGCTGTTCTGATCTGCTCCAGGACACAAAGCAAACCATTAATGTGGAATGCTCGTGCTGTTGAACACAGAGGCAGGTGTCTGTGTCTGTCTGTGTGAGAGACAGAAACTTGCCAGTATATACACACCCTTAGCTTCCAGCAGCAAGTTCAGGTCATGAGTGGACGAGGAAAATAATTCAGTCATCCACTTGGAGTGCAGGGAAGAAAAGAATAGCATTCATGGTTTCAGTGTTTTCAAGAGTTCCTATTAGTTAGGCTCCCATCCCAGAGAATTCATATTTTACTCTACATCATCTCCATTCTGGAGAAGAGAGATTAATTGTCCTTTGATAAATATGTTGAGCAATGCATTATGGATTAATTGAGGCCCTTTCCAAATAATTTACTCAATTGTTAAAGTCTACCAGATATTGCTTCAACTTTTCCCTCTTATGAAAAGAGATCCTTGAATATTTAGTCACTTATGTAGCAGGTCAAGACTTTTAGATGTAGCTGATTTAAGATGTTGTAGGGCCAGAGTCCCAGCAGCCCATCTGAAAGGAGAAGGAAGATTAAACAGAGTCAAACTATCTATCATCTTCTATTTCAGTTACTAATGATTTGAGATTTCTTCCCCCCACCCCCCACTCAGAAAAGCTTGTTTGCTTTTTGAAGTCTGACTCAGCACAAGGACTGTTCGTAGTAGGAAAGTGACTTACGTTCATTACAGGAAAGTAGAACAAAATGAAGAAAAATAAATAAATAAATAAATAAAAAAAGACAGACCACAAAGCTGAAGGAGTGAAAGTGTCTTTTCCAATACTTTTTGGATCAGTTTTATCTCTACATGTACGTAGCAGCAAAAGACTAATATCCTAACGGTTAGAGATGGGGGATGGGAGAGAGAGTGGGCCATAGAGATCACCTCCTGTTGGCATAAAATTGCTTGCTACAGTTGATTTTGTAGAGCTTTGTCCAGGCTCATTTTAAAATGATTCAGGAACTGATGCTTCCAACACCTCCTCTGGGATACTATTCCCTAGTCTAATAGAGCTCACCGTTAGGAAGACGCCCTCACCCTCGCCCAGAGTATCAAGATACCACTGACATTCTGTTAATTGACTCTCCCTACACCCAGTCTCATGTCAGAGACCTTTCAGTTCCTTTAAATGTCTTCCTAATTCTTGTATTGTACATCACTGGCTGATCTTGTCCCACTGGCATCAATGATAGCCTGTGATGGGGTACGTAGACTCCACACTAACTAAGAAAGGGTTAAGGAGAGTCTGTGGGCCAAATCAGCCCCACCTTGTTACATGTGTGAAGTGCCAAGCCTGGAGGGAGGAGTTAAAAGAGGAAGAGTCCAGCCCAGCCCAGTAGAAGCTGACTAGGAGAGGACCTCTTAGGCTGGCTTCATGAAGCAAGGCCCAACTGGGGCCGGAGCCAAACCAGAGCCTCTAAAGTCTCAGAGCCTCCTGAGGGCAGGCAGGCCTGTTGCAGGACCTTTATGTTTCTTTTGTTCCCCTGACCTAGTTTGGTTCCCATTTTGGGGGTGGATCTGCAGAAGAGAGTCAGCCTAGGAATATGCTGTGAGAAGAGCCTTGCTGTGTCCTATGGTCGGAAGTAGCCAAGGGATACAGAAGGGAGACTCTGAAGAAACAGTCTTTATCTGTTTCCTGGTCTGGAATCCAGAGCAGAGTGTGGGCCTGGGCTCCCCTCTGGGCCCACCTAAGGCAATGGTGCAAAGACCGTGGAGGCAGCTGCTGGAAGGCCCACAAAGCCTGAAGTTGGGCTGAAGCTCAAGGGCTGCCAAAGAAGAAGCCACTATGTCCTGCCCAGCAATGAGGCGGCGTGCCTGTGGTGAGTACACTCTTCCACAGAGCCACTGCCTTCAAAGGGTGTGAGAGACAATCCTTATTTCTTAATTACTTGGTCTACTTTTAATATGCCACACTCCTTTCAGAGCCAGATGCAACATCTTAATGAATGTGTCTTTAGTTCCCTTCCGTTAAATACCTTCTATTATTTCTTCCCCACAACAACAGAGACCAATCCAAACAGCAGCCATTATCCACACAAACACAGCCTCAATAAAGTAAAAATATTGACAGATGTCACTAGGAAATGCAACAATTTCAGTTCAGGCTTTCTGATCCAAATAAATAGCATAGTATCCGGAACTCGAAACAATAACATCTATCTGTACCATAACTCTAAGCTGCAATGTAGGAGTGAAACTAAATTCTAGCCCAAAGACCTGGCACTGTCCATACTTTTGTTAGCTAATGTTTGACATCAGAAATACTGAATCACGATACTGAACTTTTACATAAAAATGTTCTGATAGTGAAAAAGTATCCCATCTTGTTTCAAGTATCTCTGGCTGTAAAGATTGGTTGTGTTCCATACTAAAGTACCTACAGGCTGAAAACTAGCATGACCCTATATAAGCATCTTCCTACGCAAGAACAGAGCTTTAGTTAATGATACCATTACAGCAAGACAATAGGTAGTAACTGGAAAAGTAACTTACTGGGAAAGAGATTGGGGGGGGGGGCCTCCACTTTCATAACATGTGCAGGGCTGGCATTACAATGAGGCGAACTGAAGCGGCCGCCTCAGGTGCCAGAATGGCGGGGGGGGGGGGCACTACGACCCAAAGGGTAGAAAATTGTGTCTGCTGCTGGTGCATATGTATTCTCTCTGCTCTAGATGCACAGAGATGGTGGAGTGCTGTGCTGGAGGAAGGAGGGCACAAGAGACGTAACAGGCAGGCAGGCGAAAAGGTGAGAGGGAATAACAGAAAGCAGCAGGAGCTGCAGGGAGAGATAGTTAGGAAGAGGAGCCTCTTATGTACCTCTCTAGCACCCCCAGGAGCCTGGACTGATTAACACCAGCTTCCCAGGGAGCTTCCTGTTTCCTGCTGCTTCCCTGAACCCACCTGAGGAGAACAGGCAGTCAACTGAAGTAGTAGGAGCCAGCTAGGCCCTTAAGACACTGATATCTTCCCTCACTCAGGCCCTATCACCAGCCTGCTTATTTGTCCCCCTTCAATTGAGTGTTAAGAGCCACTATAGCTGGCACAGAACAGCAGTCATGAAAGAAAGAAGAAAACGC